TGCTGTGTTCATCCAGCCCTGCACCTTGTTGTCTCGGATTCTCCAGCATCTGCAGTTCCTACTATCTCTACCGCAAATTGTGCTCAGTTTGATTTATAAATCATACTGACCTCCATTCTTGTCCCCATAATTGTGTGAAGGTTGAGATTATATTGCTGGTGTTCAACCAGGACAATAACTAAGAACTGGAGTGCTGCTGTTGTCACAAATTTTGTTCTTGTCACTAAGCAACTTCCTTGAAAAGACATGAAAGGGAAGCAGGGAAAAGACCTCATGCAGTCAAATGCAAATATACTTTTACTTACATCAGCTGTGTTCCCAACAACTGTGTACCCATACTATATTTACTGCAGTATATAAGTTGGCTAACCACCCTGTCTTGAAGGCAATCAGCAATAAGCAATAAATGCTAACCTTGGCAGTGAGTCTTGCACTCTGTCTGAATGAATAAATCTAATCATAACATGCTGGATATTTTGTTTGAGCTTTCTGCATCTAATTAGCAATTTTGTTCATCCCATGGTGATGGGATATCTTCTGATTTCCTGCCATAATTATTTAAATCGAAGAAGCATTTTTGTTCTCCTCTTCAGTGCAAACAGCAGTTGAGTTTTGATTATCTCCTATACCAGAGAAAGTTTGATATCATTAGTTTCATGCCTGTCATTCAATTACTTCAGTCCCTTGCCCCAGCTTCAGTCCCCAGAAATATTTAGGAATGGAATGTTCCTTTTTTTTCATTCGAGGCTATGTTTGTGAAAGCCAATTCAAAATCTGAGGAATGAAATTCAGTATTATTTTAGAATTTTACCACAAAACAAACATTTATAAGGATTTGCTGGAACTTAATGGAAACTTGTATATTGGAAACTTCATGGTTTTAATGCAACAGTCTGTTTTAAGAAGCTCTCTACAGACTCTCCAGTAACATAATTGTGGCAGTCCTTTTTTTTCTTTGATAAATGTTTCTCTTCCAGGTCCGGCTGTAAGTTGCAATTTTTATAATGTATTGTTTTCATTGTTTTTATAGAATATTTTCCTTCTTGGATGTTGTCACTTTGTGTCGGTGTGCTCAGGTTTCCAAGGTACGGTATTGTACTTTTAGTTGTTTCTTAAAATACATGTAAAATCAGGTGAGCAAGGATATGTTAGCTGAATGATTTTGCTATTTCAATATCATGCACTAAATATTTATGGTTAGTAATTGCTTACAGTCAAAGTAACTTGATTCATGAAGGCAGTAATTGTTGACTAATTCAGTTGTTAAGCATATCTTTTTAACATTACAGAAGTGAAAGGGGAAGAACACACTAGCAGTTTGTATAGCAGTCCAGTTGCTTGAAGGGAAGCGAAGAACAAACAATGTATTTAGTTCTATTGAATAGAATAGAAATTTGTTGTCATGTGTACTTGTACATGAAAAATAGGGAAAAAATTTATAAATTGTCCCACCACGTGCCTATATCAACGACAAGAAGTCATTCATCAATTTTTTTAAAAAAAGTAAAATTAAGGCACAGCTCAGCTAACGGCTCCTGGGCTCGGGGAAAACCAATTTAAGGAACAATGGAATACCCTGAAAACGCAGCAGGGATGAGGCCGTTGGAATACTAGGCCAGAACCTTTGCTGAAGAAGATTGCTAGTCCTGAATGAGACCGCCTGCTAGGCCGCTGGAATACCTGGAAACCGAAGACTAAGAAGACCACCGCACGGGAACGAGACCTCAACGCCAGGACAAAACCACTACATCGGAACAAGATAGCCACCCCGAGAGACCCCCACGCTGGGCTGAGACTGCCACTTGTCCTCCTTCAGACGCTCGGGCCTAGCTGCAGACCTGAAGCTTTGGCTTAGAAGTGTTTCTTTGTTTTAATAATGCTTTTGGGTAGAAAAAAAATCTTGGAAATAGACAAAGGTCTGTTGCTATCTACAAGGAGAAAACAAAAGCGAATTAGTGTGGATACTGGAAATCTGAAATAAAAGCAATGCTGGGGAAATTCAGCTGATGTGGCAGCATCTGCAAGAGAGAGAAATAATTAATGTTTGACTTTTAATCTGGCAAAGAATAAAATTGAACTAAAATGGTAACTTTCTCTCTTGACAAATGCTGCCAAACCTGCAGAGTTTTTCTAGCACTTTCTCTTTTTTTTTAATACAAGGAGAAAAGTTAGATTAATACTTGGAGTGTAATCTTTTGCCCTGAAGTCTTTTGGTATGTTTGTAGTTGAACTGAATGGAGATCAATTTATTGTTTATCTTCAGGGCACCATCAACCTTGTACATTTTCCATGGGCAATTCTTAGTGTGGTTATTTTTTCTTTGTATTTTATGTATGAATTTCAAACTGATTTTGAAATTTATCAGTTAAAATATGAAGGTTTGCTTTTCTTTTATAACCCGCTGCCACTTACCAGCATCAAATAACTTGTTCCCCTGATGAGAAGTTACCTGTTTAACACTTAGAGATATGATTTAAAGAAAATTATATCTCTAAAAGGAAACATAATTACATTGGATTACTTGACTTATTGCTAAGATAAAATGCTGAAATGTTATCATATGTTCTTGAAGTTGTAGGTCTGTTTGATTATTTTCTGACTAGTCATAGGATTTAAGTTGTTTTTCGGTGTGAATCTTGTAATTCAATTCAGGGCTGTAGCTGAACAATTTCTGCCTTAATGTCTTCATTACAGGCAATTGCCAGTTTTATTGAATGGTATACATTACTTTGGTTTTGTGTGTTACTGGATTATTGACATGCTTTTAAGGTAACTTTAAGTTGCCTTTGTAGCATTCAGATACCACTGAAGAAAACAGTTTAACAATGAGGTGCAATGACGCTTCTGGCTTGTGACGTTAAGGAAAATGTGCAGTAACCCAATTTGCCTGCCTCTGGTCTATCCTTGATAAGGAGCATAAAGTTTTCCCTGCAAGGTGAATGAGCGAGAGACTCCAAATGTGAACCTATTTTGGCAAAATAAATGTTTGGTGTAAGATATTTAATTTTACGTAAGAAATACAACTTGGGAGCAGGCCATTTGATCCATAAGCCCAGGTTGGTAGTTTTGCTCCACTTGAACATCCTTCCATTCTTCCTCATCTAACTAAAATGGCACAACCCTTTATTGTCCCTCAGTCACATATATAGCCTCCCTTAAAAGCTATGTGGTTTCTGTGGTAGGGAGCTCTGCAATTATTTGGTTTAATATGATTGCATTTTTGAGGGAGTAATGCACGGTCAATGAAGATAAGACAAGGCTCTTGATTTAACCCCACATGTAGACTTGTCATGAAAATAAAAGCTCCTAGGATCTGAAAGCAAATGGCAAGTTGGATCCAAAATTGGCTCAGAAGCAGGAAGCAAAGGACACGGGTTATTTTGTGCCTGGAAAGTTGTTTTAGCGAGGTTGTGCAAGGCTCAGTTTAGGTTCCTTGCTTTTTGGAGTATATATTAATAATTTTGGGGTTGTGCATGAGCTATGATTAAGAAATTTTTGGATTATGCAGTCGCAGGTAGACAGGATGGTGAAGAAGGCATTTGGCTTGCTTGCTTTTATTGGTCAGTGCATTGAGTGTAGGAATTGGGATGTTGTGTTGCGGCTGTACAGGACATCAGTGAGTCCACTTTTAGAATACTACATTCAGTTTTAGTCTCCCTGCTATAGGAAAGAGTTCAGAAAAGATTTCCAAGGATATTGCTGGGATTGGAGGGTTTGAGCTGTAAGAAGAGGTTGAATAAACTAAAGTTTTCTTCCTTGGTGCATTGGAGGTTGGAAAAAAAAGAATGAACATGGATAGGGTGAATAGTCAGGTCTTTTTCCCAGGGTAAGAGAATCCAAAACTAGAGGGCATGGGTTTACGGTGAGAGGGGAAAGATTTAAAAGGGATCTAAGGGGCAACATTTTCATACAGAAGGTGTTGAGTGTATGGAACAAGCTGCCAGAGGTGATGCTGGAGACGGGTACAGTTACAACATTTAAAAGGCATCTGGATGGGTACTTGAATAGGATGGGTTTGGAGGGATATGGGCCAAATGCTGGCAAATGGGACTAGATCAGTTTAGGCTATCTGGTCAGCTTGGAGGACTTGCACTGAAGGGTCTGTTTCCATGCTGTATCATTCTATGGTTTAATCATGCTGCAGAAATTGTAGAATACAGGAGATATCAAGGGGCTAGTCAGTTGGGCAGAGCAGAGAAAAATGAAGGAAAATGGAAGGATAACACATTTCAGGAAGGCAACAAGGCAAGCAAAAATACAATAAATATTAGGAAACAGTAGAGAAACAGAGGGACCTTGCAGTACATGTCTACTTGCCCAGCAACCTTCATGGACAAGGTGGTGAAGAAGATATATAGGATACTTTTCCTTTATTAGCCAAGGTATAAAATGGGGAAGTTGTGCTGGAACTGTATAAAATACTTTGGCCCAGAGCTAATGAACTCTGCAGTTTTGGTCACTGCATTTTGCTGTAGGAAAGATGATATTGCCCTGGAGACAGTACAGAGGAGATTTTGAGGATGTTGCCAGGGCTGGGAAAAATATCAGCTGTGAAAGAAGTTTGGTTAGAAAGATTGCATAAACCAGGGTTTGTTTTTTGATAGTGAGGCAACTGAAGGGAAATCTGTAATCTAATATTGAAGGGTCTGAATATAAAGGTTGTATTCACCTTGGTTAAGGGGATGTGAATATGGATTTAGGGTAGAAGGTTTAGAGGTGACGTGAGTGGGAATGTGTAACCAACTGAGGCAGAACCCGCCAACATTTTAAAATGTATTTGGATATGCACTTGGAAGTGCCATAAACTGCAAAGCTACTGACCAAGATCTGCAATGTGTGATTAATTTATGTTCACTTGTTGACAGCATGAACGCAATGGACACAATGACCTCATTCTGTGCTGTAAATGTCAGTAAAATAGTGAAATTTCTTATTGTCCTTATCACTCCACAGTAAAGAAATTTCTTCTGAATTCCCTATTTAATGAATTTTTAATAACTGTCTTATATTAATGACCTGGCGTTTTTGCTTGTCTCCACAATGGAAACATTCACTCTTTCTATAATTGAGACGTTCATAAGAGAATTAGATGTGCAGGTCATGAAGAGAAAGCAGGAGTATAGCACTAGAGGAGATGCTCGTTTAGAGAGCTGATATAGACATAACGGACTGAATAGCTTCTTTCTATATTTTAACAATTCTATGATACTGAGATCTACTTTATCAAAACCTTTTGATATTAAAGATCTTGATCAGGATTGAACCGCCTTTTTCAATTGATAAGAAACTCGTTCTTTCCTGATAGTGTAACCTCTTATTTTGCCCTCTTACCCAGTGCCTCTACAACAGTTATGTAATATCATCAAATGTGATTAACGACAAACATTTATGATCTGGATCTTCTTAGTGCTGGACTGTACAATGTTATCCAATAGACTTCATGGAAAAAAAATGTCTGCTCTAAATGAGTTGACAGTAGTGTGGTGAGGGTAATATGGTGTCAGGGACATGTGAACAGCAGGGTCACGGTGCACCTCCTTAATCAGTGAGATTTAACTGTTGAGAATGCAGCAATGGACAAAATTGTACGTTAAAAGAACATGAGGGAAATACAGAATTTCGCATATTTTTAGTTCAAGCATTTACTACATTTAGGATTGAGATTGAACATTTTAATTTCCATTTCTGGTCCTTGGAGGTTAACTTGCATGAACATTTTAGTTATTTGCTCTAAGTGTTATCTTTCTGTGATATGATTAACAAATTTTTTGAGTAATGGAGGTTGAGGCAAAGAATGAGTTGGCAGTTGAAGCAAAGGGTTGAATTTGAGCACAGTTTTTGGAAATATGTTAACCCGCAGCGTTTGACTTATCACTCCCATGTTTGCTGGTCAGTTTACGCTCTTAATTTTTTGGCACTATTTAACAAATCTAAATTAATGTTTTAATTTTTATTTGATATCAAATCTGCATACTTCAAGAATTGTGAATTCCCATTAGTTACATTTAAATTGCTTACGCCATGCTGCTTGGTAGGAAAGAACTGAAAGGAACAACAGATTGCAAATTAGGGTTCCAAATAGATGTCTCTTTAGTTACACCTATGTAGGGGAGGAATATTAAGAAGAGTTCTTTTATTGTGTTATTCACATGTAAGACATCTAGAAAAAAGCTAGATCCTGCTATTTTGACATAAGAATCTATATGTTGTATCATGATTTATGCAAGGATGAAGAACTTGCTCATTATTATTACATGTCTAACTATTCTCAGTTTTGATGGCAAGTTACAAGCCTGAAATGCTAATTTGGTTTCTCTTCTATGCGATTCTACCAGGTTTGCTGAATACTTCCAGAATTTTGTATTCTTTGCTCACATATGAATTTTAAAACTATGTAACACTTGCCTGTTCTGTGACTCGTTTAGATTTTAATGAACCGGATATTTTAACAGTCATACTGTACCAATAAGGGGTAACCAATGGCAGAAAACATGCAGTCAAAGTTTTATTTCAAGGCAATCACCATGAAACAGCTACTTCAAAGTGAACCAAATACCCAATTTCTTAACACTTCTTCTTTTAGAAATAACTGGAGTTAAAGAAGCAGGGAAAGGTCAGAATGTAAGAATTTATTTCTAAGTGAATTATAGAATTTAAATGACACCAAACAGCTGCTAATATTTGAGGTTTTTCTCATCTTGCTGACTAAGAAAATATTTGAGGTGCCTTGATTCTGTCCTGAATCATAACCAATGACAGTGAGGCGGTTGCCTACCTGGACTCATGGTAGTAATTGGATACTTAACCATAAGGAAAATCCTCTTTAAGCAGTGCTTGCTAACAATTGTTTCAAGAACATTGCTTTCTTCTGTCAGTAAATACATTCTGATATTATTATAGTCTCTTTGGCTGTGCCTTTCCAAATGACACACAGACTGATACAAGTCTTTTATAGTTTATTCAAGCAAAATGAATGATATAAACACCTACAATGTGAACAAAATTGTTAAGACCTCAGGTGTTCAGTCTCAGCTTTGGGGCTCCTGTTCTGTTGCTGAATCACTGACTCAGGGTTCCTTCTACGATTGGAGGTCTTCAGTACCGATCAACATTTTGGCTGTGGTTAAATAATATTTACAAGATACAATCTTGATCATCTTCGGCTGGTACATTCCCACAGGCTTCTGTTGCCATCGCCTGCAGATGTTTCCAAGACCAGTTCCTGCTTCTATCATTCTGCAGTTCCCTCATATGGTAGATCATTCATTCATTCCATTCGTAGAACTCAGTTCCTGCTTCCTGCAGGCTGAACACAATTTGCACAAGTTGATCAGTTTTACCCATGGTTCTTTTAATTGGTCAAGCTATTCAAGTCCATAGATCCACATCTTAAAATGGTAACAGTGAAATTTTGCAGCAAGAGGAAGCAAGAATCAAAGTACTTGCATTTTAAGGAAATACTTTAGTGTACTGTGAGCATACACGAAAATGAAATAATTGAGCTACAGAGAATAGTTATTTGCATTTTAAGCATATTTTGTAATGTGCTGGACCATCAAAACCCAGAAACTGGATTGCCCATGAGATCTATTTATTTTGATGTTGATGTGACACTGACAAATATGCTATAATTGCTCAACTATTTTGCAGGCATGGAATATCCTAGCATTGGATGGCAGCAACTGGCAGCGGATTGACTTGTTTAATTTTCAGACAGATATAGAGGTAAATTACAAAAAGTTTTATTGTGTTATTTATACTACAATATTGTTCAGAATTATTTGAATTGGTAATTCAAATGGCCAAAAGTACAACTTGATGCTTATGCCAAATAAATTTTAGTGAACTTCTTGGAGCACCATGGCTTAATTTTTTAAGGCTCATCTGACCTAAATTTGTATCTTGACCCAGGTGATCTGGCCTTCTATTATTCTAGTGATTATGCATTAATTCAGAACAGACTCCTGATTCTGAGTATATAGTCTCATTTCAATTAAATTTTGCGTTTGAGTTAATTTTTTGCATGTCAATTAAATGGTATCAGAGATGGAGAAAAACACTCAAGGCACTGTGATTGCAGGAGCCATCTTGTTTACAGTTGACCCATTTAAATTGCCAACAAGAGCTTTGTGACTCAAAACCATGTTTAGTTTTTGTTTACACATCTAGCTAAATATGAAATATTCTTGTGGTTTATCTGATGAATTTACAATTTGCATCTTTACACTTTTAGAATGTCTTTATAGAATTTGTAGCTCTTATCAAGTATTCCTTGGTTAAGGATCCGTTCTGTTTTCTGGTTGACAACAGTAACTTAAGTGAATTTTTTTTTTTGGGGTTTTATTTCCAACTTGTATATGCTTACTGCCTTGCTGGATGTCTTTTGTTTAAATTATTTTATATTCATATTGACATCGAATTTTAAAACCTTCAGTATTTATCAGTGATCAACATTCTTGCTTTTGGTGTCCAATAGTGCTACATAGCACATTAGACATGTAAAGTCTACTTTTAACTCCTCAAGGGCCTTTCGTGACCATGTAGTTTTTCATTTTTCAGGTCAGTGTCCCTCGCTTAACAATCTACATTCCAAATTTTCAGAGAAGGAAAATTGCTGATCCAGGTTAGAAAAATGATCTGCAGCTGAATATCTCATTCAGGCATAAGAGAAATAATACCAGGCAACAATGCAGTATGTTAGTTTGCACATCTGTAGAAAGCATTATGCTATTTCAGTGCCAAGTTCAAATTTAGTCAGCACCTACACAGCTTTGGCACTACAGTTATACAGTGACTTAATTAAGTTGGTATAGTTGTACAACTTGTGCAGCATATATTTTATTGAAACTATCAATGTTAAATGATGCAACAATAAATAATTGTACAATAATAGTACAGATAATTCTTTTATCTTGAAGTGAAATTTGTAGGAGACACCGAGGAACAAATTAAGCAATTGTGAAGTAAATCACTTAAGTACTTGCTTTTGTTAGTAAGCACCATGTTTTGTAATCAGCAAGGACAAAGTTGCAGAACAGTGGAATACCTGCCAGAAATTTAACTTTGAGTAGCAATGCATGATTCACAGTTTTCTTTATAAATTCCAGTCATAAAGAATTTGTTGCAGCGTGATTGCCGGACAGGATGTTATAATTAATGGCAGTTATTTTGATTAGAAAAGCCAATTTGTGTACCCAAGGGTCAGTGCAGGGTCTTGTTGAGAAGCCAGTACCAGTCGAGAAGCAATGGTAGTCTTTTAAGGAGGCATTTATAGCTCTAACAAAAATTGTTCATTAAGAAAGAAAGACTGGCACTACATGAAGGATGTATTATCTACGGCAAGTTAAAGTTACAGATTTGTATCAAATTGAAACAAAAATTATGCAATACTGCAAAGATTAGCAGAGGTGCTAAAGATTTTGAAAAGATTAGAAACCAGTGAGAAATCATCAAAATAATAGTGAAGAAACTGAAATTGGAGTATGAGAGGAAACTAGCAAGCAATACGTAAACAGTCAAAGCTTCTATAAAAAGGAAATGTAAAAGGACAGGGTAGCTCGGAAGCAGTGGTCCCTTTAGAGGATGAGACTGGTAAATTAAAAAAGTGTCTATCTGTCTTGTATGTGATGGTGGCTGTCACTGGCTGGATAGCATTTGTTACCCATCCTGAGTTTCACTTGAACTGACTGGCTCTCTAGGCCATTTCAGAAAGCAATTTAAAAAGTCTGAAATCACCTGTAGGCATTCCCTAAAGGCCATTAGCGAATCAAATCGGAATCAATGACAATCGACAATTGTTACTATTAAATTATCCTTTAATTCTAGATTTTATTGAGTTTAAATTTCATCATCTCCATACTGGAATTCAAACCAATGTTTGTCCAACATTAATAACACAGTGTGGAACTGGAGGAACACAGCAGGCCAGGCGGCATCAGAGAAACAGGAAAGCTGACGTTTAGGGTCGGGACCCTTCTTCAGAAATGGCTCTCTGACTCCAGCATTGGCAGTTCTTACTACCTCTTTGTACAACATTAGGCTGGATATTGGATTACTAGCTCAGTGACACTCCCGTTGTGCCACCACTTCCCCTAAAATGCAGAGGTAACAGAGGCATTGAATAAATATTTTGAATTTGTCTTCACAGTTGAACGCACAGACAGCATAACAAGAATAATTGAAATACATGTAGAAAATCAAAAGATATAGGGAAGGGAGGAACTTAATGAACATGGTCGCTTGAGGAAAATAAACCAGAAAAACTAATGGTAATAAGGGCTGGCAAGTTCTTTGGACTTCATGGCCTGCAATCTAAGTCCTTAAAGGAAGTTAGGGTTACGGTAGGCTCAGGTTAGAGATAGTGGATGCATTGATGTAGATATTTTCAATTAGCCTGTTCAGACATGTTTGGACTCACCCTTTAAGGCGAGACTTGAACCTGGGCCTACTGGATCTACACTTTCACTGTACCACAAAAGCTCTTGATTCATTGGTTGTAAGCTTCCAAAGTTAACGAGGTTCTGGAAAAGTTCGAGTGAATTGGAAGCAGTCTGTGTCACTTCTATTTAAGAAAGTAGAATGGCACAAAACACGTACCTGTAGGCATGTTTGTCTAGTACTGTAACCCAATATATTCTGAGAGTGCTAGAATGCATTATTAAGGACATGGTAACAGAATATTTAAAAAATGATAATTCAGGTTGCATCTCACTGTCTTTTTGAGAGGGAAATGATGTTTGACAAATTTTATTAAGTGTTCCTTTGAGGATATAACCAACAAGGTCGATAAAAGGGAATGAGCGGAGGTCATAGATGTTTAGATTTACAAAAGGCATTTGATAAGGTGCCATATAAAAGACTACTGCACTAAATAGAGCCATGGTCTTGAGAGTAGTATATTAGAATGGACAGAAGATTGTTTCCTTTTCATTAGCCAGCCATGATTAATGGATCATGTTCTGGTTGACAACTATAATTGGTGGAATGTCTTGGGGATTGTTGCTACGTCTACAACTATTTACAAGTTATATTTAATGGTTTGCATGGAGTGACAGGTTGCATTGTACCCAAATATGCTAACAATGCAAAGAAAAATAGGAAAGCAAGTTATGAGGAGGATACAAAATTTATAAAGGGACAGAGATGGTTAAGTGACTGAAATGCGGGGAAAAAAATTGCCAGATGAAGTATGTGGGAAAATATTTGGCAGGAAGAGTAGAAAAGTAGAATATTTATTAAAATTGAGAGAGACTGCAGAACGCTGCAATACTGAGGGATCAAGGTAGACTTGGCCTTGTAAAAGTTGGTATGCACACACAGCAAATAATTGTCAAGGCAATTTGAATGTTAGCCTTTGTTCCAAGGGAGGTAGAGTATATAAATCGGAAAGCCTTACTATTGGCAATGCACGACATGGTGAGACTACACCTGCAGTACGGTGGTACAGTTTTTTTCTTAATGGATATTTTGCATTGGAAACAGTTCAGAAGGTTCATCAAGCTGTATCCTGGAATGTATGCATTAGCTCCTGAGGAAAAGTTGGGCCCATATTCATTGGGGTTGAGAAGAGTGAGCAATGACCTTGTTGAAACGTACAAGTTTCAGAGGAGGCTTGACAAAGTAGATGCTGAGAGAATGTTTCCCCTTGTGATGCGGTCTAAAAGTAGGGGACATAGTTTAATAATGAAGGGTCTTTGAATTAAGACTGTGAGGAGGAGGAATAACTTCTGACTTGAGAAGACTGAAATGTAGATTGAGCATATTCAAATCTCTGTAGCTCAGATTTGATCGACAAGTGAGCAAAATATTACAGAAGACAGGCAGGAAAGTGGAATTAATCCCAAAGGCAGATCAGCCATGATATTTATTGAATGGTGAACAGACCTGATGGGCCACTTCTGCTCCATAAGTGATCTCTCTCCTTGAAAATTTTTTTTTTTTTTTTTAGAAACTGTGTATTTCTGCCATGGTTGTATTCAATGATGCAGTACTCAGAAGACCTAAAGATTCACAACCCTATAAGTGAAGGAAGTTTTCCTTTGTGAAATCCCAAATGATTGATTCTTTATTGTTGAGATTGTGGCCCTGTTCTCTAGATTCGAGTCAGGGATCTACAGCACAGAAAAATGCCCATAGAGTCTGTGCCAATCAAAAACAACCACCTAAGTATTCTAACCCCATTTTCCAGCACTTGGCCAATAGCCTTGTATGCCTTGGCATTGCAAGTGCACATGTTAATATTTCTTCAACGTATGAGAGTTTCTGCTCCTGCCACCATTACAGTCAGTGAGTTGCAGATTCCCACCACCCCTGGATGAAAAAGGTTTTCCTTGCATTTCTTCTCAACTTCCTGCCGCTTATCTTAAATCTATGCCCCCTGGTCTTTGATCCCTCCATCAAGGGGAAAAGGTTCTTCCTGTTTTTCCTATCTGTGCCCGTCATAATCCTATGCATCTCAATTGTGTCCCTTCTCTCTTCCTTTATTCTAAGGAAAACAATCCCAGTCTATCCAATCTCTCTTCGTAACTAAAACTCTCCAGTCCAAGCAACATCATGGTAAATGCCCTCCACATCCTGTCCAGTGCTATCACATTCTCCCCTAAAATATGGATTTCAGAACTGCACACAGTACTCAAGCTGTGGCCTAATCAACATCTGACACAGTATCAGCATAACCTCTCTGTTGTTAAACTCCATTCCTCGATTGATAAAGACAAGTATGTTATGCCACCTTAACTGCTTTATCCACCTGCCCTGATACCTTAAGGGACCAGTATACAAGCACAACGGGGTCCATCTGTTTCCTAGTGCTTCCCAGGGTCCTACTGTTCATCATGTATGCTCATGCCTATTTTGTCCTACCCAGGTCACCTCACTTTTTTGTCCTTGCGGCATACTTATCCAGATTGAATTCAACTTGCCACTGATCAGCCTGTCTATATCTTCCTGTAATCTGTCCTCCTTAATATTGATCCTCCACCACCACCAATTTTTGTATGATCTGCAAATTTACTGATCAACCCTGCTACATTCAAATCTGAATCATTTACATAAATTGCAAACTAAAAGAATCTCCAACACTGATGGCTGTTGGAACCCAGTGGATGCAGATTTCAAGGTGGAAAAATACCCCTTAACCATCGCCCTGTGTTCTCTGCCACTTAGCCAATTGTGGATCTAGTTTGCCAAATTTCTTTGGATCCCATGGGCTTTTCTAAGAGTCTCCCTTGCGGGACTTTATGGGGAAAAACCCAACAGCCAACAATGTCTCAGTATGTGTGGAGTCAAACTCCTTCAGAATTTTGTACGTTTCAGTGAGATTGCCACTCATTCATCAAAGCTTCAGAGCGTGCAGCATAATTTAATCATACTGTCATTGCAGCACAACATCATCCTCCCCTTCTCTACCTC